ACTTGATTGGAATTATAACCTTGAGTTGACAGTTTGATACTTTGAAAATTTTGAGCCAGCCCTAACCCCTAGGGCTGTAGGGTGGGGCCCAAAGGAGTCAGTGTGCTAAAATTTCTTCATTTTCCTTGTTTAGAATCAGAGGTGCTAGTTTCAAATACTTTTTAGTCTTAAATCTGTATGCTAGATATTGAATAAGGTGGTTTTATTGTAACTTTGAATAATATTTCTGTGCATGTTAAAAACAAAATCAACTCTCTGTATAAATATATCAGGTGACTGTTAAGGCCCATGGGCCTCTTGTTTGAGTGACAGGATTATATTGACACGTTAAATCTGCTGCATTCCAGCTGATATTCCCCCACGGAGACATCAAATTCCATTTAGACATTTGATTTCAAAGGTCAGGTCCTCTATTTCAGTTTTAATTGATCATTACTTCTTGTGAATTTCATTTGTGCATTTCCAAAACAAAAAAATAGCTGTTTTTTATTTAGCAAAAAGTTTATGTGAATTATTCACCTAAAGTGATGTGTGAACTATGTTTTAGGTACACTCCCCTGGTGGAAGGACTCTCTGCTTATGTCCGAGCAGTCAATGTTGACATGGACCCGAAAATTAACACACTCAAGGAAAAACTTTCTCAGATGAAAATCGTAAGTGAACAGCTTTCCATTTGTGAATTTTGACTTGTTCCATGCTTTTTACCCTAATTCAACAGCCATGGATCCCATTCCCGTGGTAGTGAAAAAAATCCTGCTTTGTTTCTTTGATCAATCTCATACAATGGTCAAATGCCTCAAACAAGTTTTTGTTTCAATGTGCCAAGGTCAAGGCTACCATTACTATTAATAGAAATTTTTCATCCTCTTTCAAAAGCCATGGGGCTGGGTTAAGTGTTTCCCATGTTTGTCCCATCCTGTTTCAGTGCCATTGCTCAAGCAAGCCTCGGGTTTGGATATTGAAATCTCGTAGGGTTGAAATTTATTCTCATACCCTCAGGTCCAAAAGATTCTGTTAATCTTCTCCCTTATCAACTAAGTACAACTGCACTTTGAGCATTAAGGTTGAATTATCACTCATTGAAAACCTCTCGTATGTGACCTTGATTGTAACATCACTGACCTTGACAGTAAAGGACACATACTCACGTTTGACCCTGTGTTTCCTTACAGAACCTGTTGACTCGATACAGTGAACAGGAAGAGTTGATGTTCTCCGATTCTGAGGATCCACATGCAATGTTTCAAGGCAGTGGTGACACGCTACGGGGGCACCATAGCTTCACCACGGACGACGAAGACTTAGATGGCTCAGGAAGCGGCCACTATTCCATTGGAGGAGATGAGGGAAGTGGTGGGGGCGATCCCGACAAACCACACGAGCCTGTCATAAGTAAGTCTGTGTGACTGTGATTGGTTATTCAGACTGTTTGGGTTGGACCAACATCAATAGAAATATTTCGTAGAAGGATTAAGAGAAAGTCCTAGGTGTGGGTATGATTTGTGCAATATCTGAGGTACTTGTTTATTTATCTAAAAGTTATGCCTTATTTACATATATCAACACCCCTGATAGTTTTCTATGTATGTATAGGCAAAGCTGGTATTACTGTATACCAGAATGTTTTGCCTTTTTCGCCTTCTATATATAATGGGGAGAAATTTATCTTTACAGCGAACATTTATAAACAACATAATCTACACAATATTTAAATGCAAATTTAATATTGAGCAAAAATGGAGACTGTCGAAGGGTGGAAATTTGACTGGGCAAAAAGTTCCCGGTATACAGTATTCTGATACTTTGATACACAATATTTTATTCACGTTTTAGAATACAGTCGGCCCACTTGACCTCATGTTTATGCTCTGGAATGACACACAGCCTATTGAACCTGTTTCTTTTACAAAATAATAATGCTGTATCTTGTTTGAGCTTTGGGACAGTTTCTAAGATTTCTAACATCAGTGGTAAATCTTATTCCCATTGCCACTGGATGTTGTCTGTGTTGTAAGGCTGTTATTGATCCAAGTATCGGCCCAATCAGTGGTGTAACTATCAATACTAATGTGTTAATGAAAGACGTCCAACAGATTGTGCATTATCTATTGTCGCTGTAATGGTTTATAGATTCTACCAGGTAATTAAATGAAATCATTTTTAAATGTGCACTGAAAAGAGAATTGCGTTTGACAAAAATCTCTCGATAGAATCAAGAAGATTTGTAATTTATTAAGTATTTTTGCCTTAATGAGTGGAAGAGATCGTTGATTATGAGATCAATTTTTTTGCCCCAGGAAATTTTCTTCTTGTTACACAGATGTTTGTACATTGTATCTGTGAAAGTTATGAGATCCTGCAGAATATGTTAAATTTGGGGGGGTTATCATGTTGATGAGGTGACCTTCATTTTGAGGATTTCTGGTCAGTTGTCTCCAGAAAATTACTGTCAATATCGTAATACCGTAATATGATACATCATATGTAATGACATTAAATAATAATTATCAACTATCTTTTCAATGTTTGATTATTTTTTCTGATTTTGTTTCCAGCGCGACACCCACCAAATGTAGACGATGGTAACCGGGAGGTGAATCCTCAAGATAGAGACGGTAACACAGGAGCAGCCTCACACTTCACGGTCTCCATGGCAGCCATGTTCATCAGTGTAGTGGTAGCCATTTTTGTATGAAAAACAACAACATATAAAGAAATTGTATATGCATTATTATGTGTACCATCAGATGTGGTAGAGGTGAGAATAATAATAGATATCCATTCTTCTACCGATAGAAAATTGTTTAAAACATTGGCAGGTACATCACTTGAAATTTTTGTAGTCAAAGGGAAGTAACTCTATCATAAATTATGTCAAAAAAACTTTCAAGCATATAGCAATACAGGTTTCTTATAGATTTTGATTGAAATCACAGTTCTTTTGTCACATAGCTAAAAACCAAGAGTTTCTCAGGACAGCTCAAGCTTATCAAACTACTGGTCTCTCATTTATCAATATTTAGCCCTGGTTTATGGGCTGTTCCAATAGCAATTTTATTTTCAACTAGGGTTAAGGTTATAGTGAATAAACAGCAACATTTTGAAAAATCAAAATCAAAATTCACTTATAAAAAGGGAAAATAATTTCTGTATCACAAATAGCTTTATTTTTGTTTAATTTATCCAATGCAATTTGGTTTTTTTAAATCAATCTAGTGAAAAATATCAGTTATCTGGATTCCCTTTACCAATCAGATTTGTCCTTACTTTCTGGTAATTTTACCCTTTGTCCTACAGCTACCCAAGAATCAAATACAGAATGAAGTGCTATTTATTGTGATTTTATTGAAATTGTTTGTCATTAGTGTGTGTTACATTGAAAAAAAGGTTTTATTGGAAAAACAAATTATGATTTCATGATATAGTTGACTTGTGTTTTAATGAATATATCACCTATACCAGGTAAATATTTTTTTCATTCTGTTGAATTTTAAGAAAGAAAGATAAAAACAATTGTCAGAGTAAATTATAACCTCTAGATATATACAGGCACACATTTTTTATTTTTTTTTAAAAATGTTTTTTACCAGTTAGTTTTCAATCAAACGATCAATTTCATTTTAAGCATTCAAAAGAAAATTTCACTTATTTTCAAAGATTGAAAACAAATTAATAAGACTCATTACAACAATTCAATTTTATCTGTCTTCATACTTATTTTAAGTGATTTTTAATTTTTAATTTTTTTAAGATATTGTTCTGGTGATGAATCTTGAAATACACACGTTTTGTTTACCATTGAAATAATTAAGACTAATTATAGTTAAGACACTGTCATAATTAGGTGCAGATTTGACTTTTTTCTTTTTTTTTCTGTTATGTTTAAGAGGTTAAATATCATCCTGTCTTTAGTGTTGATATGTAAATGAATATAGATATTATGTTTATTGGTTTGAAAAATAGTTGTGGTGAAAAAGTTATATGTCCATTTTGTATGAAATATGATTTTAATGTTTAACATTATAAAGATACTGAACATTTCAAAGATATATGCTACCTTACTGTTCTATCACCTGTGATTTGTGTGAAAAGTTATCTCCCTCACAAAATACCTTTATTAGCATTATTTGAATATAACTTAGGCTCTGATGTTTAAATCCTGATTCAATTAACTTAGATTACTAAATTATTGAATGAGTTTATTAAAAAAAGTAATAACTTCAAAACTGAATGATTGTCAAAATTTGGGAAATACAGAAAATTATCAAAAAATGTTCAAAATCCCTTTTTTTTAAATTCATGTTAATTTATTTAATTAGTAAGGCTTTGAAGAACTGGCCCTTGTGTATTATTGAAAGATGTCTCCATTTACCTTTCATATGTGTCGGCATTTAACTCACAAAACCCAAATCATAATTCCTGAAATGAACTTGTCAGTTCATATTAAGGAACTCTTTGGGAAAGGAGATTTGTATAAAAATCAGGTAGCATTAGTATGTGTTTACACAATGTATTATTTTCCCTGTACAATTCCAATGTCATGTGTGGATCTGAACTATGATGGTTTACAATTTTTATTATTTTTAAGCAGTACATAATAAGTTGGTCTTGATTAAGATAAGAAACATGTATTGTGACGATTTTGAATTGTTATATACCAAAAGGTGTGTATTATAAATACACAAATCAAAGCTAAGTGATACTACAACCTGTGAATTGGGAAATTCAGTAAGAAATATTTACTTAAATTTGTGCTGGAATCCTTTTGTTTATTCTTTCTTTCATTGAATATTGTCAATAACTGTCTGTAAATAAGTTATGGCTTAAATTTCTTGTTCTTATGCAAAAGTTCATAAAAATTAAACGGTCAAACTGCACCAATGAAGTTAACCAAACTCAATTTCCTGTTCAGGGGAGATCATTCTATCCTATACCTTAGCTTTTGAAGATGATGTCTTGAAAAAAATAATGATTTTATTACTGATGGCACAAGAACAGCTTATTCCCAATTGACAGTAATTGAGCTGTGGAGAGTAAGGCTGTTGTCATTACTCTCAGTACAGGTCTTGGTGTCTGTACTTGTTGCAATGATTGTTTTACCATTGAATGGTGAGATTTTGTTTTATTTGAGAGCTCTAAGCTCAGGATATTTTTGTTTTAGGATAAACAACTTCATATAAGGAGTAACATTGTGCTTGCAGTGCCATAATCAAACTTCTAATAAGCAAGGAAAAACATTTTTTAAATTAGTCAAACCTGTATTTTAAGGACTGCCCTTCGGAATTAAGTCCAAAAAGTTTTTTCTTATTGCAGTTAGTCTCTTAACTAATTTTATAATTTTATCTTTGAATTGGAAGAGTTGAAATGCGTCTTCAGGGGTGAATGAGTTAATACAGGTTCAATCCACAATGAAATCACTTTAATGGAGAACATTAAAGGTGGTCTTTAAGTAGAGGTGGTCACATGACTAAGGTTGACTGTAATAAACATTTCACCAGTATGAACATTTCTGCCATTTGTAATTCTCTTAAATACTGATTATTTTTTTAATTTCATGAATGTTTTTAACGTGTAAGTATTAGTCATACTCAATGATATCAAGACTTAAACGATACGATATTAGATGCCTGCACTTGCAAGTCCTTATATGGATGTTGTTTAAGGTATGGTTGATGATGTTGAGAGCAACACTAAGATGATCTGTGATCCTATTATATTCTAATTAGTGATTAGAGCGGTGTAATTAACAAAGTTTATTGTAGTTTGATGTCTGATCTGCCGTGTATGTAGATGATGAGACAGGTTATGTATATGATGACCTGTGTCCAGTTCATGTCCAGTTTACTCAGTCTTGGACACGACCAACACTGTTTACTTCTTTTCCACTTCCATGTTTATTCGAAGATTTTGGAAACGGTAGAAGATTATGTAAGATGAATTCCCTGTACAGCTGTGTGACAAATATTAAGCAAAATGACAATATCTGTTAGTGGAAAGTTGTTCGACTCTTCAACTCATTCACCCCTGAAGTTTCATAATGAACTATTCCAACCTTTGAATTTGAAGAGTTCAAATGTATCTTTAGGGGTAAATGAGTCAAAGCTTTACACATTGATGAACTACATTGGTTCCATAAAGAAAGTCTGTGCCTCAGGGTCATCACATTATTTAACAACATATTGAATTCTTCAGAAAATTCTGGCTCTGAAAAATAATTTTCAATCGTTTGTAAGAATTTGCATTGGAAAGGCAAAATGTTTAACTTAGTCAAATATGTATAAATATTGCTATTACAAAATGTCTAAAGACTGTGAAGTCATTCTCTTGATGTGTTAGCCGTGTCCAAAACTCTGTAAATGTTTTGTTTTATCATTGTTATTGTTATTTTGTCACGATACACATAATGGTAGATTACTTTGTATGATATTAATTGAGGTTGACCTCTAAGCATAACCTTTGACCTATTGACCCTGTTATATGAAGAGAGGCAAATGTAGGGACATGGTGATCAACCCAAGTTCAAAGGGCAAGGTAATAAACTTTATGAGGTTAAAGGTCAAGGTGATATAGGAGTTCAAAGGTGATTGTTGTTGGCTTGTTGGCTTGTCATTCTGCACAGAGTTACTCAATAGAAGCTTTCGGGTTGACACTAAGGGGTGGGATGGGGGCATTGTTAAGGTTTATGGGAGGGATATTGAAGCCGAGGGTGGGGCTTGTTAGTGAAGGGAGGGTCCATCTGGTTGTGGGATGATATAAACATGATAAATATGTCAATTTGGTGAGTGGCAGGGTTAGGGAAAAGGGGAAGGGGTAGAGGGAAGAAGGGGTAGGGCTAGGAGAGCGTGTGGGATTAGAGAGAAGGGGCGGGGCCTGTATCATGTACACATGTATGTATTATAACTTTTGTAAATATACATAAATATATATATATAAATATATCGGTGTAAATGCAAAAATAGGTTGGTTTCTACTATATCTGTTGGTCAGCCGTCACCATGGTTACCATTGTACGTTGGTCCAGTTATTACCATGGCTCTAATATGAATCTATGCATCAGAGAAGTATTTACATCAGTTACTAAATAATGTATTTACACAGTGCATTTTAGTTTTTTAGACAATATACAAATGTCATTTAGACCAAATTGGTACAGCAAGATGTAGTATAAACTGACACAGGAATGAGTGTATGTATGGGTGTGCGTGTTTATGATGTGATAAAAAAATATTGTATTTGTAAACGAACTTCTAAATTTTAGCATAATCAGTTGATGGCACATTTGTAAAAGTCCATCTGTTATTGTATTCTTTGTGTAATTCTGATTTAATTACGTTCAATTCCCCATCTGTTCTTATTGTGCACTTATGAGTTTACAGAAAGAAAGAAAAAAAAAAAATCTCACATAAAGCTTCAACACTGTAAGAAGGAAAACGTTTGAGTATATTTATATTTTGATTAGTTTTTGTTCGCATGAATGAGTTGTCACAATTATTCATGCTTAACTTAATAAATCTAAGTCACAGGAACACTCATGATCAGTATAGCATCTTATGACTTCATCTTTGATGCATTTCAAAATAAGATATGATTTGCTGCAAACAAAGACTTTTAACACTTTTTAACCTCTTCATTTTCAATATTATTTCACTTTCAATGAATATTCATTAGATCTGCTTCTCTACCAAGCCATGCCTAATTTAAATAAATATTGTAATTTTTTGCTGTACATTATTTGAATATTCATCGCCATTGTTCTGGCCTATCAGTATCGTTCAGCAGTGTACTTAATTTTTTTGAACAGAAATTTTATTTACGCAAATTTATTTTCAATGATAATCGATAAGCTAAATAAAAGTTTGTTTATAAATGGTGTTTTTTCAGCAACAGGTTTTCAGATTTACAAAAACTTTATTGTTTAGTTGCAATAATCTTAAAGCTTGTGCATATTATTTTTCAAGGGAGGTAACTCACAGGTCAAGCAGATATTGTAGAATGCCAGTTTTTTCGTTTATTTGTAACATTTCTTATCTTTTTGAATCTTTCAATTTAGAAGATTAAAAAAGAATTAAAAAAAAACATGTTTTATTTCTGCGACAAATGTAGAAGATTAATAAAAATTCTGGGTTTTTTCTTTCTATATTGTTGTATGTAAAAATTATTCAAAGTGTTTACAGCAAGATGCTGTATTCAAACCCATTAGCTTTCTGTGGTCTCTGTTTTCGCTGGCTTGCTTTCAACTTTCCCGACATTGTATACATATCTTATGTACTGCTGTCTTGTGTCTGTTGCAAATCATTCTGATAATAAATTTCAGTACTTTTTATATTCCATTTTGTTTTGTGATTTATAATTGTTGGTACATGAAAATTACATCCTCATTGAAACTCCAGTCGCTACGCTCACTTTGGCTCACTGCACCCTTGGAATATGTCTCAGCAAAATTAAAGACTCCGTGTACATGACCTGTTGATGTAATTAATGTACAACTAAAGAATTTTGTGGTAGCATTAACAGTAAAAAAAATAAAAAAAATAAAATGGTTTTGATGTTGATTGTCCCGCCTCTGTAACCTTCAAAGGACAGGTATCAGCCTAGCGATTGGTCAGGTTTTTTCAGTGTAAATGAGTGCGTTCCATTCTGCCTAGGATTTAAAATCCACTTTATTACTTAGTCTTGTTCAGATCACAGACTGTTGTGGTTTAATGAATAGCAATAAGTTGAATAAGAAATGTTAAGACCAGTACATTGGGTCTGAGCCTAGTATATCATTCCTACTTTATCTTCAATATCAACAGAGAAACAGAAAATTGCATAACCAGTACAAAGTCCTGCTGGTCTGAACTTTTTAAATTACTGATTACGAATAAACTATGGCAGGGTATATGTGTTCATAAATAATAATAATAATAATTTGAGGTTCTTATATACCGCTTTATCAAAACTCAGTTTGTAGGTCGACTCAAAGTGGTTCACAAATTATTATCCGTGGTTATAGGGCCTTTACAACCAGCCAATATCTTTCTCAACTCCGTGGGAAGCATACAGTTGCCATTTTGGCGCTCACAGCTAGCATTCAACAATTCTGGCATTGCTCAACCAGGTACTCATTTACAGCAGAGTAGACTGGAACAAGAGGCCCAAGAGGGCCTGTATCGCTCACCTGAATATTTAAGCAGTCATAGCAAAATATTCTCATTAAATATTATATTGCACTAAAAATATTTCCCTCGCAAACTTTGTTGGCTCCATCTGTTGAAACTACCAGCAAAATATTATTATAAGATTCTATGCTTTTTGATTCTTCTTCAGAAGTTGCTTGACATATTTTTCCCTGTGATCTTGTCAGTAGGTCAATGTCATTTTCCTTCTCAAATTGGTTAGCTCTATTCCAAAAAGCTACCAGCCAAATCTTATGAATCCATTCCTTTTAGTTCTCAAGAACAAATCCATTAAAATGTTGTTGACCTCTGTGACCTCTAAAGTAGGTTGAGGTCATTTTCATTTGCAAACTTTGGTGAGCTCTATCCCGGGAAGTCACCAGCCAAATATTATAATTTTATGCCTTTTAATTTTTCAGAAGAAGCTGTTTGAACTGTTTGACATATTTGAACCCTGTGACCTTGAAAGTAGGTCAAGGTCATTTTCATTCTCAAACTTTGTTGGGCTCCATCCAAGGAAGCCATCAGCCTAATATGAAGATTCTATACCTTTTAATTCTTCAGAAGAAGTCGTTTGAAGTTTTTGACATATTTGACCCCTGTGACCTTGAAAACAGGTCAAGGTCATTTTCGTTCTCAAACTTTGTAGTGCTCCTACCAACGAAGCTTTCAGCCAAATATCATGACTCTAGGCCTGTCCGTTCTTCAGAAGAAGTTATTTAAAGGAAAAGTTGACGGACGAGGACGGACGGACGGACGGACGACGGACGCCGCGCCACGGCATAAGCACACTTGGCACTTCGTGCCAGGTGAGCTAACAAGCGGAGTAAAGTATATTGCTCAAAGATACAACACAGTGCCATGACGTGACTTGAACCCGCAACCCTTCAGTCACGAGCCTGGTGTCCTACCACTAGACTACTGTGCCTCCATAAACATGGCTGTATGGATAGTCCAAGTTAGCTGGTTAAGACAAAACTTGAAGCTTTGCGGTGACAACATTGGATTACCCAGCAACAAAGGAAAATACAACAATGGTTTCGTTAGCCTTTTCTTTGTTATAATTAATAGATGTGTACCAACTCTGACTGCTGTTATAATACTGATCCTGTCAACGTGTTAGATATGGTTTGAGGGATGCGATACCACTCCTATAGCAAGGACTGTGACTTTGGGATACTGTCTTAGTCCTCCTGGACTCCTCGTCCTACAGATGCTCATTGGAGACAGATATATGAGGTTTGATGGCCAGAAGAGAACTTGGATGTTGTTTTGGATATGGAAGCCATAACAAATCTTGTGGTTTTGCGTTACCGTGCTGTTACACAAGATTACACCGACGGAGATACATGGGCAAAATATGAACTAAGGGAATTACATGGAGATCCATGAAAAATCAGCTAGACCTTAAGAGGCAGTCTGGTGGAGCAGTGGATTATATAGCGAAAGAGCAGTGGATTATATTGCGAAAGAGCAGTGGATTATATAGCGAACTTGTCAAGTGTCTCTGCAAATTGCATCAACATTAATATCAGGCAGTACATGTCACTCAAAATACTTCATGTAGAATGGTTCGTAATTATAGTCATATTGCTTACACAAATAACTCAAAATTAGAAAAAAAAGTACACACTGATCCTTCGAACAGTGCAGGCATGATTACATATTGAAGTGTTTAGAAAAGCAAAAATTGGAGCAACAGTGTCAAAACTACTGCAAAATAAACACTATGGGCAGTCAATTGTTTACATAGAAACTCATGCTTTTTCTTCATCTATACCTGATCCAAACAAGAATTCCACGGAAGTGGATGTGTCGCCTGCACAGGAAGCTGGGAGATTATGAAGAAATAGATACACTTTTCATTTCAAGAAATAATGTTAAAAGTAAGCAATAATCATAGATTATGTTTTTGGATGGCATCATTTTGTTATATAATCTGTTATTCTGGGAAGAATACTCTCGAGTTTTAAGGAACTTGCTATGGATACTCATTGTCTCAATTCCAAGTTTAATTTGTATGATTTGACGGATGGTTTCCCATAAACAAGAGGCCCAAGAGGGCCTGTTTTGCTCACCTGAATATTTAAGTAGTCATAGCAAAATATTCTCATTACATATTATATTGCCTTAAAAATATTTCCCTCGCAAACTTTGTTGGCTCCATCTGTTGAAACTACCAGCAAAATATTATTATAAGATTCTATGCTTTTTTATTCTTCTTCAGAAGTTGCTTGACATATTTTTCCCTATGATCTTGTAAGTAGGTCAATGTCATTTTCCTTCTGAAATTGGTTAGCTCTTTTCCAAAAAGCTACCAGCCAAATCTTATGAATCCATTCCTTTTAGTTCTCAAGAACAAATCCATTAAAATGTTGTTGACCTCTGTGACCTCTAAAGTAGGTTGAGGTCATTTTCATTTGCAAACTTTGGTGAGCTCTATCCCGGGAAGTCACCAGCCAAATATTATAATTTTATGCCTTTTAATTCTTCAGAAGAAGCTGTTTGAACTGTTTGACATATTTGAACGCTGTGACCTTGAAAGTAGGTCAAGGTCATTTTCATTCGCAAACTTTGTTTGGCTCTTTCCCAGGAAGCCACCTGCCAAATATTAAGATTTTATAACTACCAGTTCTTCAGAAGAAGTCGTTTAAAGTGTTTGACATATCTGCCTCATGTGACCTTAAAAGAAGGTCAAGGTCATTTTCATTCTCAAACTTTGTTCGGCTCTTTCCTAGGAAGCTACAAGCCAAATATAGAGATTATATACCTTTCAGTTCTTCAGAAGAAGTCGTTTGAAGTGTCTGACACATTTGACTCCTGTGACCTTGAAAGAAGGTCAAGGTCATTTTCATTCTCAAACTTTGTCGGGCTCTATCCAAGGAAGCCATCAATCAAAAATAAAGATTCTATACCTTTCAGTTCTTCAGAAGAAGTCATTTGAAGCTTTTGACATATATGACCCCTGTGACCTTGAAAGTAGGTCAAACTAGTTTTCATTCTCAAACTTTGTTGGGCTCTATCCCAGGAAGCCACCAGCCAAATATAAAGATTATATACCTTTCAGTTCTTCAGAAGAAGTCGTTTGAAGTGTTTGACACATTTGACCCCTGTGACCTTGAAAGAAGGTCAAGGTAATTTTCATTCTCAAACTTTGTTGGGCTCCATCCAAGGAAGCCATCAGCCAAATATGAAGATTCTATACCTTTTAATTCTTCAGAAGAAGTCGTTTGAAGTTTTTGACATATTTGACCCCTGTGACCTTGAAAGTAGGTCAAACTAATTTTCATTCTCAAACTTTGTTGGTCTCTATCCCAGGAAGCCACCAGCCAAATATAAAGATTCTATACCTTTCAGTTCTTCAGAAGAAGTCGTTTGAAGTGTTTGACACATTTGACCCCTGTGACCTTGAAAGTAGGTCAAGGTCATTTTCATTCTCAAACTTTGTTGGGCTCTATCCCAGGAAGCCATCAGCCAAATATGAAGATTCTATACCTTTTAGTTCTTTAGAAGAAGTCGTTTGAAGTTTTTGACATATTTGACCCCTGTGACCTTGAAAACAGGTCAAGGTCATTTTCGTTCTCAAACTTTGTAGGGCTCCTACCAACGAAGCTTTCAGCCAAATATCATGACTCTAGGCCTGTCCGTTCTTCAGAAGAAGTTGTTTAAAGGAAAAGTTGACGGACGAGGACGGACGGACGACGGACGCCGCGCCACGGCATAAGCTCACTTGGCACTTCGTGCCAGGTGAGCTAATAAATGAATAAACTTGTGGATTATGATGTTAAACAGCTAGTGTTGTCAATAACATTTGGAGTAAGACGTCATTTCAGAGGTATACACGGTGGGTCAAGTGGTAGATCGAAGCCGTCCAGTATACAGTTTTAGTTAAGTTTCTATTTATAGTAACAGTGACCTTGACCTTTGACCTTCAGACCTGAAAAGCAATCCCAAGCAAGCACTTTTGGTAAGGAAGCACTGCATGAAGTTTGAGTGGCCCAAGGAAACTCAAGTTATCGCACGAAAACAGATTTTCTATTTATAGTAACAGTAACCCAGGCGACACAAAAACTGCAACCTCATTGGAGAAAGATTTCGTTTCGTTGGTTCAAAGGCAATGTGTGCAAAGGGGCGCAACTCCTGTAATATCAAAGTTAATGCTAGATTGACCAACATATTCCTGCAGGGGAGTAAAGTGTATTGTATATATAAAGGTAAATGTATGGCATTTAGTATGCAGCAACCCTGTTTTACTGCTTCAATATCTGTTGGTTTTGTGCAACACTTTGTGCCAGGTGAGCTAAAAACAATCTTTGTCTTCATTGCAAATGGTACACTTTCTCTTGCGTATGGCAAAAGATGCAGGAATTAAATTGCTAGCATGACAAATATATTTCATAAAGCCCTTAATAAATCAATTTTTAAAATTTTGGCTGAATTACTCTGTGACATCATCAAGTTAGTTTCATCAAAATCCTTTCAGACAAAGTCGCTAAAGCAATGACAAAAAAATCTCAACACTGACCTTGATTTATGCCCCCTGTAAAACCCCACTTTTTTAAGGATTTTTCTTGCTTAACCTTGTTGGGAAATTTGAAAAAAATGCTTTGAAGAATCCTCCATTAATTCTTAGAAATAACAATTATTTTCACAGGGTCAACATTTTTCCAAAATTATTTCAACAATAAAATACAATTTTGGTTCACATGAAACATTTAAGCAAGACAGTAATTCTGTAAGACAAATAACACCACAAAAAGTCCATATCCTTTTTTGTAAAATTCTTGTTTTATTTACAATGCAAAATACCTCTATAAAGAAAATTCTATGGACACTTGACTACATTATCTGGTAGGCTATTACTAAATGTACATGTATATACATAACAAAATTGTTTTCACCTGAATATGTTTCGTAATATCAGATCAATTTACAACATACTTCATATTATAAATACTGTAGACAAAAGTTGCAGAAATAATCCAACTTTCGAATATTACTTTTTTCATAAAAATCCACTTTGTCTTTCTTTCTGGTTGGACAAGATTTTTTTTTTCTGTAGGCAAAGACTAGACCTAGTGGTCTGATATTGTCTTGCTACACATAATAACTGATTTGGTTGTTCTTGGACAATTTGAAATAAATTCTAAACTCCGATATAAAATCCTGGATGTTATAATCTTGAACTGGCAACTCCATTCACTTGTAGACTGGCGTTTGGAGTCTAGATGAAGGTGATTTTTGTGTGAGCCTGGTTGACCTGCCATACATTAAGCTCCTCATATTCCTCAATACATGCATCCACCTGGTCGGGCTTGAACCCTTTGGATGTGCACTGTTCCATGACGTCAGTAACCTTCACTGTACGCGCACCCATACCTGGCACCATCTCTCGGACCAGATTAAAGATGCGATCCGTTACATTTTGTGCCCTGAAATTAAAGATTTATTAAATATTACTGAAATTTTTTTTTTCAGGTTTTTATATATATATATTTTCTAAGAAAAACAGTACAAAAAGTCTTAAAACTATAAACTCATATTTAGATGCTGTCTCTTACAAATAGCATAATGCTTTACTTTCAGTTTTATAACTTTTATATTGGTTAGGATTAATGGGTTTGTAATTCATGTACATATATACCGGGCAACAGTTACAGAAAAGGTACAACCTCTACCAAATATACTGTACAGTAGGGCTGCAATAATATATTGTGATATTTTGAATACGGCACAATGCACATTTTTTTTGAGAGGCGACGATAAACCTAGGATATTTTCTGGATTTAGTCTCTCGTATCCTTCCAACATGCAGCTCCAGCATGCACGTCGGAACACGTGAATTGTTTGAAACGTTTTTAAGTCACGCCCATTTTGGACCAAGTATATTTCCGCATTCTCATTGCAATTTAAAACTTGCAACCTATCTTTAAGCTTGGCTTCTACAGTTACTATACATGCATCGTATGGATGTCACAATACCCCAAGAGTGTATCACGATATAATTGCAATACAGAATGAATATATTGCGATACATATCCAGATAAATGGTCAAAGGAAGGATGTGCTCAATTTTACTTAACTTAATCATAGATATCCCAAATAGGGGGTTGGAGACACAACGTCCTAGATAACTTAAGTTTCATCCATTTCTTGGTCGATAGTACCGTGGAAACCACAACGGTATACAGAGTTCACACTGGTAGCTGTATAGTACCGTGGATACCACAACGGTATACAGAATTCACACTGGTAGCTGTATAGTACCGTGGAAACCACAATGGTATACAGAGTTCACACTGGTAGCTATATAGTACCGTGGATACCACAACGGTATACAGAGTTCACACTGGTAGCTATATAGTACCGTGGATACCACAACGGTATACAGAGTTCACACTGGTAGCTAGTAAAACTCAAGGAATAAGTGCCAACAACACAGCAAATCTCTTCCTAATGTCGGAATTAATCATATATAATATGAATTACATAGATATAAGATTTTTGTCAAACCAACAACTGATTACCACATTTGAACTATTAAAAGCCTGCTTTATGCTAATATTGCGATACAGCAATATTTCATCTCTGTATTGTGGTACGATACAATATACCGATATATTGTGACAGCCCTAATGTATCATTGAGCCCTTTATACCAGTGATCTTTTTTTATTTTTGAACAAATTGAAACATGCGAGATATTGACCTCGAATGAACTTCATGCGCTGGGTTAAGCGTATCCTTGGACATCTCCGTCAGCCTCATGGCCTCGTTAACATCTTCCTTCTCAACTGCATCAGCCAGTCTTAGTCTTGCCTGATGATTGAAAAAATAGTCAAATTTACAATTCAAAAATAAATGCCCCCTCCTTTTCTAGCTTCTTTTTTGTATGTTTCTTTATGAGCTGATTGAGCTGCAGAAAGACATTACTACAGAGACTACAGGCAGCTGTAAAAGGTCATCATTTGATAGGCTTACACGTACGAGCTTTATAACAAGGGAGGATACTTACAACAACTGTATAACTAGGGATACTTACAACAACTGTATAACTAGGGATACTTACGACAGCTGTATAACTAGGGATATTTACGACAGCTGTATAACTAGAGATACTTACGACAGCTGTATAACTAGGTATACTTACGACAGCTGTGTAACTAGGGATACTTACGACAGCTGTATAACTAGGG